AATCCATTGCGGGACTTGGAGACCGGTCCTTCGGATGAGACCGTATAAACTGAGGTTCCGTGTAGCAGTAAGTGTTGGGACGTAAAAGATCCCTCACTGCTCAATGGCCCTGAGTGCGGAATATAGGTATAAATTTTAAGCCCTCCACCGGCAAGTGGTGGCGTCTCCGTATGAGAGAATTATTCTCGAGAGGGACGTTAAACAACAAACTATATAACAAACAAAATTATTGCATCCCTAAGTGTAGATTAAACATTTGTAAATCATCCTTTGTCCCAATGGCAAGAAGGGAATGAAACTCTTTACCTCTCTTTACCAAGACAATCCATTACATTGTATAGGTTCCTTCAAAAATAGTACATACTCTCAAAAAACACTCCATCCTTCTTTTCTTTCGGCGATCGTTATTGGAATGTAATTCATACCAGATTAACACACAACAGTGTTTTGGATAAAGATCTATTTAGGTGTAACATTATTAACAGTCCTCTGTGCTCTTGTGGAAAAATAGAAGACGCATATCATTTCTTTTTTTTTCTTGCGCGAAATATACTACACACTCAAAGACAATAAAATGGTGCAAATGATGTTGTCGGGTGTGGGTGGGGTGGGGTGGGGTGGGGGGTTAAGCGTAAAAATTAATGAGATAACAGAGAAAACGCTTTTTAAATAAATCCATGAATACATGTATGTAACCTTTTAGCAAAATATACAAAAATGGAGTGAACAAACCACTTTTTTCTGAGTATAGAATTTTGCAATAGTAAATTTTCCTTTAGATGCTGGTTGCCCCCCCCCCCCCCCCAATTTTTGATGTAGTAAGGTCGAGCACTGTCACATTCCAGGATTTGGTCAGTAAAATAGGCCTTTTTCTGCTTGTCAGATTTCTTTGGAAAGCCCCCCCCCCCCTTTTGAAACCTTTGCTACGGGCCTGAAATAACAGTTGAATCTTTATAATTAATTATTTAGCATATATCTTCAAAGCAGTTATTTGTGAAATATTTTTAATAAATTATAGAGCATAATCACATTACATGTACATTACCAAACTTTAATGATGTGATATACCCATGTATATAGAAGAGAAATAAATAGAATAACTATAAATAGAATAAAAACCGACTGTGATTTTTTATATACCGGTAGTATGGGTATCCCGTATTGTATGCCTGTAAGATTGGAAAACGTTTTATTTTGAGGGAAACTTGTTGAAAATTATAAATAAATGGTACAAAGCATTGTATATCTTACCAATACTTTGAAATTACATTCTATCTTCTTATTTTAAATGTATATGGATAGGCATGAAACATTCGTTGTATTAGTTTAATAGATGAAATAGAATGATGTCATGGTTAAACATGTGATACTTTTTCTTCTATCCAAGAACTGTATTCCATGATTTAACAATGTCTTAAGTATTGTTAGCTTACTATTTTTAAGAGAAAATGATTAACTGAAACAACTGTTAACATTCGTTACCAAATCTCATTAAAAGGAATGATTTTAGAGTTCAAAAGAATGATTTTAGAGTTCAAGCATCATTTGCACATTTTAATACAAACTGTGTAATTATAACTGTAAACAACCATTTTTTTTTAAAGTCTTACTTCGAAGGGCAGATCACTCTAACTGCGTAAAACTACCCTACAAGTAGAACTCTTTAGTGGAAAGTGTTTAGAGTTCCTTAAGTTCAGAATAGCTTTTCTGATTGTCCTATGTCTGTCTGTCTGCAACTTTTTAAAATAAATTACCTCTTCTTAGTTTGTGCACTGTACATACACATTGACATATTAGTATCCTCTTCTCAGTTTTCAGAAAAGATAATGATTTAAAGTATAAAACAATGATTTTTCCTCAAATATTTGTTCATTTGCTTCTAGATATAACTTGCATTCTTGCACTCGGAAGGCATCGCGAATACTAGCCTACTTCGCTTAAACCCCACCCACCATGACGACGGTAGTACAAATATCTTTTCTGCTTGAACTTTCAGTACGGCGTGACATTCTCGGCTATACATAATTATCGTTTCTCAAATAGTGACCTAGATTCTCATTAGTTGCCAGATTAGCTCATCAATACTGAAATTTACACAGCTTTTCATACATGGGTGAAATACACATGGGATAAAAATAGTTCAGACGTCTATGAGTGACGCAAGGAACCAATTACATCGTTTCTTACAGTAAAGAGGTGTGGCTTATGTCATCTCATTGTTTGTTAACAACAATCTAAAGTTGCTAATGTTATTAATTTCTTAACCAATGAGAATATAGGTCACCATTTGAGAGACGCTAATTATGTATCGCCCCACACACACACATTTCAATGCTTGCATGCATAAAAGGAACTCTGTTAATCATGAAAATATAGAAAAATTTATGAATAGTTGGTTTGAAAAATTAAAATGTCAGGGTTTTTTTTTATTTACTGCAATTTTCTTTTGTTCGTTTTGTGGATTTTTTTAAGATTTGAAAAGGCTTGAAAAATTGTTAAGTCGTACGAAAATTTGTTCACCAGAAAATTATGTCCCTTGCCTAGCACAGCATTTCAACCAATGAAATAATTGAAAATTTCCACATCATGCATTTTCTACCAATCACAGAAGAGAGGAAGTGCACAGTCCGAAGACTGTAAAATACTTCAACTCTGTATACCGTCTTTCAAGGAAGACGGTAACAAAGAAAACAAGTAAAATTAATGTAAAACATCAAATCGGTCGCAAAAACAAATTGAGTATTTCAAAAAGTACTTTCGATTCAGAATTAAGCATCCAAAGAAAGCACAAGGTATTCAAAGCTGAAAGAGTGATCATTTATATATTTCAGACCGTCTTCAAAAACAAAATATTTAAAAAAAAAAGGAAAGAAAGAAATTAAAAGCAATAGAGATTTTAGTGCATTTGTTCATCAAATTGATTCATCGATGTAATAAAGTCAGTGATAAATAATAAGAATATTTATTGTCATCAAAATGAAGATGTAGGCCTATTTATATTCAGACCTCAAAATGAACCACGTGTTGATACCTTGGATCTTTGTCAAGTGATGATGCTGATGATTTCTGCAGAGTAGGCTATGCTGCACGACATGGTTCAAAATGTAGGAAAAAAATATCCTTATATCATTTGCAGCTGTAGCATATTCCAAACAATTTTTTACTAGTTGAACAACTTTTCAATTTTTATTCATCATGCACTTTTAGCACTTAATCAATATTCGGAAAATCATGACGATTTGCTTTCATATCTTACACACTCACAGGTTGGGGAGTACTTACCTATATTGTAAACTCTTTTTGTATATATTCTTAAATTAATAATCATCTGATGACAAGTGAAAATGAAATTGAAATATAATAAAAACAATTAAGATTTGGTTTAAAGCAAGTTTTTAAAATATTTTACTCATGATTTCATACATGTTATAATTAAAGAATTATTTTATTGAATTAATAAAGAAATAACGTCTCATTTCCCCATGTGCAATTTCTAACACAACCACAAATAGATCGGCCGCTGCAGTGGCCGATAATGAAAAGCTTGAAGAAAGGGTACGACTTTTCTTATCTCAGTTACCGCACTCTCCGGACTTTACAAGTATGATGTCACAAGACGTTTGTAGATTTATGGTCTGGAGTTGAAAGATTCGGGAAGACGCGGGTACCTAACATATCCCCACTATCTGAAAAACACATGCACTTGTATTAAAGTATCGGGTAATTTCATTTAGACTAGGGAAGTGTGTGTTGTTAATTTTTTTCAGGCCTTAAATTAGATCTATTCAAAATCAAGTGGTATCAGCAGGTATTACATCAATACACATCAACCTCTTGCACCTTGGTAATATTACTCTGCGAATCGCTGAGTGCTATCAGCCGTTCTCAGTGGGGATCTTGGTCTTGTCCGTCACAATCATTTTTCACCTGAATGCACCAATGTGTGAATGTTAAATATTTTGTTTATTTTATTAGCTCACCTGAGCTGAAAGCTCAAGTAAACTTTTCACATTTTCAACTTCTTTTCAAGAACCATTGGGCCAATTTTGACCAAAGTTGGTACAAAGCATCCTTGGGTAAAGGGGAGTTTAAATTAAAAATTTTAGTTAGGAATTTAAGTTAAAATGAAGGGCCAAGCCCCCTTACAAGGGGAGATAATCAAGAAAAGACAAAAATAGGGTGGGGTCATTAAAAAATCTTCTTCTCAAGAACCACTGGACAAGAAAAGCTGAAACTTACACAGAAGGATTCTGGGGTTCTGTAAATTCTAAATTGTTCAAATCATGACCCCTGGGGGTAGGGTGGGGGTACAATGGGGAATCAAAGTTTTACATTGAAATATATAGGAAAAATCTTTAAAAATCTTCTTCTCAAGAACACCTGGGCCATAAAAGCTGAAACTTACAAGGAAGCATTCTTAGATAGTTTAGATTCTAAATTGTTCAAATCATGACCCCCAGGGGTAGGGTGGGCCACAATGGGGAATCAAAGTTTTACATTGAAATATATAGGAAAAATCTTTAAAAATCTTGTTCTCAAGAACCACTAAGCCAGAAAAGCTGAAACTTACAAGGAAGCATTCTTGGGAAGTGTAGAATCTAAATTGTTCAAATCATGATCCCGGGGTAGGGTGGGGGCCACAATGGAGAATCAAAGTTTTACATTGAAATATATAGGAAAAATCTTTAAAAATCTTCTTCTCAAGAACCACTGGGCCAGAAAAGCTGAAACTTACATGAAAGCATTCTTGGGTAGTGTAGAATCTAAATTGTTCAAATCATGACCCCCGGGGTAGGACAAGGCCACAATACGTATTACAAGGGGAAAATCTGGTGAAGAACAGCAGGAGGGCCAAAGTTACTCTGATGAGCGTTGTAGCCCATGGGCCTCTTGTTATAATACCTGGGGAAATAATACCAAAAGATTTGCACCATTCCCTATAAAAATATTGATTGATAGATTAATGCTTGAAGAAACAAGTAAACAAACAAAAGCTCGAATTATGGAATATTATGCATTTAATTTGTTCGTTACAATGAAATTCTGACACGTGACCAGGCAGTCACTTTTTGCAGACGCAGTTACTGTCGGTACATTTACAGGATTGAGGTCCGGTACAGCCCTTTCCGCAAGCGCAAGTTCCTGTAAATTCCACAAAATATTTTTATTCAATTGATGAATATGAACTAGTAAGTAAATGAAAGGAAGAAGCATGAAGTATTTAAAAGTGAAACAGAGAAATTAAATATTCGATAAATATATGAAGCACAATCAATAGAGAGAAAAAGAAACCACACCCCTCCCCGCAATATTTTTGGTAGTGTGATATTCATATCCCCCCAAAAGAGATCAAAAGTTAATAATAAAAGAGATGATTTAACAAAAATGAGGAAATAACCTTTGTTTGTTTATTTTCAAAATTTTGGAAAACTGCCAGTTCCCAAATTTGAATATATTGATCCTCCTCAAATAAGAACAATGAAGTATCCAATTGGCCAGATTTAGAAATATGTGTATATAGTATTTTTTACACACATGTACATGTGAATGCCCTTGCAAATACAAACTTACCGTTACAATTGCATTTGACTTTACATCCGGGACACTTGCAGCTGGGTCCACATTTACATCCGCCCCCACATCTACATCCACTCGATGGGCAGGAGTCTGCGCACAGACATTTCCCGGCTGAAAGATTTTTTTTTATATTTCACACAGACAAGGAACGATAACTCCTATTACACTGAACCATATTCAATATATAAACACTGATATATATATATATATATATATATATATATATATATATATATATATATATATATATATATATATATAAACCTACTTGCAAGACAGTTGCATGGATCAGACATTTTTCTTTATAACTGCTGTTTCCTGAAAAATAATTCAATTAAACTGTGCTGGTTTTTTTGTTTCATCAAAAATAAGAATACATGAATAATTTCGTCAAATTAATGTTGATTATTATTTAAATTACTTTCAATGTCGCCACAGAATATTTAGACAGCTTCTTTGACATACTGATACAATGGACATACCTCCTCAAAATCATGTGATATCCTCACAGAGAGATGTTACACTTCTTATAACATGGATTGAATAAAGTATATGCAATGCATATGCACACTTTATGCATTACACATTTGGTAACGTGTGCAAACCGTCATAAGATGTATAATAAGTATCGTGTGCAAAATGTATAGGGTTCTGTTATGGGAGGGTACCTATATGGAAATTAGGTAAATTATGTTTAGCAAGAGATAACACTATACAAATGATTGTATAATTCACTTTGCACACGGCACTCTGTATGCAATGCACTTATATACGTAAACCGTGTGACAATGAAAGAACGATGACCTTATTTCTATATTTATTCATTGTGTAAATTCCAACATATGACACAAATGGTAAAACGTTTTTTGAAAAACACTTAAAATACTGCTTAATTCATTTCAACTTACAAATGAAGTTATTTAATTGACGCGTTTGGAAATATCAATCAATAATCTTGTAGATCTATATGTGAACACGCAGGAAATTCCTCATCTCTGTTTACTCTTTTGTAATAAAAGTGCAACAATGTACTCAAAAGTACCTAAAATCAGGCATGATTTCTACATATACTTCTTTATGTATCATCATATGGTTTTGTACGCCTTCAAATGTATTTTCTTTTTTGACCCAGTTTAAGACAATTGCAGAAATGTTAAATATTTCAAATACTAGTACAAGTCAGTAAAAGGATATTGAAAACTGAAATATAAAATATCTGTAACTCATTTCATAAAGGTCTATTTTGTATAAAGTACATAATTATTTGTAATGTACTTTTTTTTCTTCCCTATATCTTTTAAATGTATATTAAATGGGTGTCTTGAATTGAGTACAGGTTTGCTAGTCAGACTGATTGTGCACATGAGGTCATGCATCGTCCCTTGGTACCCTCTGTATTCAAGCCACCTTTTAACACTTTTTATATTTATTCTTCATGTTGTTTTCTACCTCTTCAATATTCTCTGACCCAGATTCAGACAATTATGGAAATGTTGACTATTTTACTTTTATACTAGTATGACTCCATTGTAGAAATGACTTATATTTTATAATATACATAAATTTGTACACGCTGAAGTAATTGTAAATGCACCCCCCGTGGCCCTTGATTGGTGAATAAAAAATATTATTTTGTATAGAAACATATGTATTTGATATTTGTAGGTCAATATTAAATATGTACAAGTTAAAAGGTACAATGTTACGTTTTAATTTTTTTTCTTTGCTCGAATCGAAAACTCACCCGTCTAAAATGAATGAAATAATTATTTCTGCACGATAAATATAACTTTTTTCATTAAGATACGAAATATAGATACAATTTTCTTTCATTTCATATTTTCATTTAAAGATTTTGTACTTCCTTTGACTTCAGACTTTCACTGCAATTAACACATGGTTCTGATATTTTATTATTATTTTTTACTAGTATTTTAGAATTTCACTTGCATAAAAATGTAATAATACATCTGATCCATCATGTCAAATTTTCACTAACATCACTACATACAGTGTTCAGACATCAGGCCTCGAAACATGTCAACAGACTTACATGTAAGTCAAAATTTAGATCCAACTATCTTGATTTTTATTTCACACAGGTGAAAAGTTACATGTTTGTATAATATTCAAATACAAACAAGTACTACATTTAAAAAATGTATTATTTTCTAAATTATTTCACAAGTTATATACTTATTTGAAATTTTGACTTAAATCTGTTCTCAGTTTATGGTCTTGGGGCTTGATTTTTATTTAGAATAAAGAATGTAGAATAAAGGGGTTGCTAGTCATATACAGTATGTGCTCGTGTCTTTCTGCTGGGAGGGGGTTCATGGTCTTATCTGTGTCCTCTTTGTGTCCCTTTGCAAATGGGGGGGGGGTGTACTTTGATTATTTAGCCTTCCATAACATTTGAATCCTCATCCCCTAGCAGGGATCATCTTAGTATACTAGATTTAGATCTTTGATTCGAATAGGAATCATTACCCTGTGCATAGTAAAGTGCACATTAAACAATGTGAAATTACACAAATTCTTACACACATACATATTTATCACCAATCATTGAAAAGTACGGGAGAGTGGGGAGTCATAATTATTTCAGAGATTAATTAAAATTCCCTTAAAAAAGAAACAGTAAAACAAACCAACAAACAAATATAAACACCCCATTTATGGAATATTATGCATTTATTTTGTTCTTTACAATGGAATTCTGTTAGGTGACCAGCCAGTCATTTTTTGCAGAGGCAGATACTGTCGGTACATTTACAATTTTCAGGTCCCGTGCAACCCTTTCCGCAAGCGCAGGTTCCTGCAAATCCACAGATACTTTTATTTAATTGATGAATAATTGACAGAAAAAACAAGTGTCTATAAAAGTGAAACAGAGATATTACATAGTCAAATACGTGAAGGCTAGCACAATAAGTGGAGGGAAAATGAAACCACAACCCCTGGTAGTGTAATGTTATGTGCCTAGAAAAAAAATTAATCAATACTGTTTATAGAGTTTAGTACAGCTACAGTATACAGGTATATAAAAAGTGAATTTTGCTTTCCTGAAAAGTTTGTGCGTTTGTTTGTTGTACTGCCCCCTTTCTACATTGAACATATTACGCCTCCTCAGAATCCTATGGGCTTGACGTAGATACTTGGAGAGCATTTTGTATTTCCTTATTTATATGTACATAATACATGACTGTATACAAATGCCCCCTAGTAAATGCTAACTTACCACTGCAGTTGCATTTGACTTTACATCCGGGACACTTGCAACTGGGTCCACATTTACACCCGGCTCCACATTTACATCCACTTGATGGACAAGTGTCTGCGCACAAACAGTTTCCAGCTAGAAACGAGAAAATGTAAATCGACGTATAAAGAGCGACAACTCGAAGTATATTTGGTACATGTATAGAAGGAAAATTCACACAACCTACTTTCTAAGCAGTTGCATGGATCAGACATCTTTTGTATTATTTGATGTTGTCTGAAAAAATGAGAACATGATATTTTACGCATTAAATGAATGATGAAGAAACTGGTCATGAAATTAAAATTAATTTATTTTCTCATACATTTTTTCCACAATTCATACTGTATCGTTAGCCCCTCTATGTTTACAATTCGTAAAATATAACCTACCTTATCGGAGAAAATGTATAATATTCCTTTTGTAGAAAGGGGCTGCTTTGAGTACCACGCCAGTTGAATATATTATATAATACGAATATATGCACACGTTATACAACATATTCAGTATCGTGTGCAAATGATCGATATAGGTTGTATACACAGTATCGTGCGCAAAAGGTATATTAGGGTCTATACAAAGATAGTTGATAAGGGGATGACTATAGACAATACTGTTAATTAATGTAACATTTAGTAATTAAGTAATTATTTATAGCTTACTGCAAACTTATCAATGTAATTCCTGAAATTTAAACAGGAAAATACTGAACTTTATATGTATTTTCAAGGCTTTCTCTAAATTAACATTTGAATTGTATCAATTACTTTTTTAAATGTCGGAGTCACATTGTGTGATGAGTTTCCCGTTTTGGCAAATATCCACATATGTTCTTTTAGCTTTTTTTTTTGGACTTTATACAAAGGATGATAATGCATAAAGTAGTGTTGAATAGATATTCGCGTGTCAAGAGTCACGAGATAAGTAAAACATACTGAAACGTGCGTCGATCCTAGTAAATTTATCTTATGTACTACATGCATTAAACTTAAATGTATTTCTCTCTCTCTCTCTCTCTCTCTCTCTTAATATAGAATCCTACATAAATATACTTTAAATATTGTAGCGATACGATGCAACACTTATTTGATTTTATCATGAAAGTTGGACCAGTACTCCTTTATTTTGGCAAAAAGAATCCCCTATAACAGTTGGACAGACTACCTCGCGGGGGGGGGGGGTGGTATTGGCATTTCCGACATTTTCTATTTTCATTTCCGACATTTATTTGCATTTTTCCGGAATGGTTTTTTTTTTTTTGGGGGGGGGGGGGGGGGAGGGGGTTACTTGCAACTTGCAATTGATGTTAACCAGGTAGATGGTAATAGAATTCTGAACATATATAAAATATTATATTTGTTTTAAACCATATTTTCCAAATAAAAGCAAGATTTAAAATGTAAACTATGTTTGCATTATCATGATTATATTACACGTAAATTCTACATTAATTTCTTCAAATGCTAAGTAAAACTTATTATTTAGATATCAATATTTATTCTTTTATCGTTTTAATAAAGAAGTCTTCAGTTCCTTTTTATTGTCGATAAAGTACTATTTCATAGATGTCGGAAATGAAAAAAAAACAAAACAAGAGGCCCATGGGCCACATCGCTCACCTAAGCACTGTGGCTAGAAGAAAAAGCAAAAATCAGTTCAGTATTGAAAAGCTTTAATGCATAAGTGGTCTCGATCTACCCTAAAGAGGGACCGGGGGGTGAGAGGGGGTATCATTTGAACAAAATTGAATCTACACTTACTAAAGATGCTTAAATATTTCTTTGTCTATGACTTTTTTCCCTTCAAATTTGAACTTTCATCATGGTCCAACCCTACCCCCAGAGGTCATGGTTTGAACAAATCTGAATCTACACCACCTGAGGATGCTTCCATATAGATATGACCAATCATGGCTTTGCTGTTCTTGAGAAGAAGATTTTTAAAGATTTTTCCTATATACTCCTATGTTAAACTTTGATTGTCTATTGTGGGTCCACTCTACCCCAGAGGGTCATGATTTGAATAAACTTGAATCTACACCACCTGAGGATGCTTACATATAGATATGACCAATCATGGCTTTGCTGTTCTTGAGAAGAAGATTTTTAAAGATTTTTCCTAAATGCTCCTACGTTAAATTTTGATTGTCCGTTGTGGCTCCACCCTACCCCCGGGTGTGATGATTTGAACAATTTAGAATACCTGAGGATGATTCCACATGAGTTTTATCTTTCGAGGCCCAGTGGTTCTTAAGAAGAAGATTTTTATTAAAGATTTTTCCTGTATATTCCTATGTAAAAATTTGATCGTCCATTGTGGCCCCACCCTACCCGCAGGGGTCATGATTTGAACAAATTTGAATCTACACCACTTGAGGATGTTTGCATAGAAATGTGACTAATCATGGCTTTGCTGTTCTTTAGAAGAAAATTTTTAAAGATTTTTCCTATATATTCCTATGTAAACGCAGCTCTGTTAAGGCTGCATAAAGGGGGCGGGGCCTAATTTATACGGGAAAAGTTTACTGTGACATCACACAAATATAGCAATTCCTCACAATAACAGAAAATGAAATAATTTGCGAATCTAAACTGCACAAGAGTAATGAACTACATCAAAACTTACCACTGCATTTATTTTTGTCGCTAGTTAAATCCCACACAGCAAGATATAAACAAGTCACTGATCGCAATGCACTTGTCGACATGACGTCATCATGGTAAAGTTTGACGCATTTTATGTGCAGTGAGAGGCGGATCAAGTAATTTTTTCATAGTGAAAAATGCATTTTATTATTAAACAGAATATTATTTGAAAATCTTTGGTAGACCATCAATACAAATCTGAAAAGTTTGTTTAGTTTCATTATCTAAAAAATATCGAGAGAATGTATTGAATTAATTCTACCGTGTTTTTGTCTACAGGGTGTGCATGTTTCACGCCGAGGTGCCTCATTAAATCGCCTTTTTGCAAGGGCATACACTTAATAGATCTTGACCATTTTTTGAATACACATAATGGACATATTCCTTAACTTTAAAAGTGCTGCTGCTTTCCTGAAATCGATAGCATAACTTAATAAATACATAAAATACTTGGTAAAGGTCACACATATTTCGACATTAGCAAGATAACTTGAAATTTAAACTAATAAAATGCGAATTCTATTTAAAGCAGCAGCACTTTCCATAAACTACAAGTTATGTAGAAACAATCTATTACTTTAATTTTTAATTTTAACTAGGGTATGCCCTTGCGATATTGAAATTTGTTTGTGACCTACATACAGTACACATTACATGCATTTATCACGTGACTATCAAATAACGTGACCAAACCAAATTCAGTACAGAGTGGGGTATACAATGTTATTTCAAAGAATGTTAAAGTCATAAGATAATATAGTACCTTTACAAAATTAAAATTCATTTTAAAAAGGTATGTATTTATACACGTTTATATTCTGTTGATTTCTTCGAAGTACGCCTTAACAGTGCTGCGAAACTTTGATTGTCCATTGTGGCCCCACTCTACCCCCAGGGGTCATGATATGAACAAACCTGAATATACACCACTTGAGGATGATTCCACATGAGTTTCATATTTCCTGGCCCAGTGGTTCTTGAAAAGAAGATTTTTAAAAGATGCCATTAATTTTTAACTAATTTGTAATTATCTCCTCTTGGAAGAGGGCGTGGTCCTTCATTTGAACCAACTTTAATTCCCTTTACCCAAGGATACTTTGTGGGAAGTTTGGTTTAAATTGGCCCAGTAGTTCTGGAGAAGAAGATGGAATTCTGAAAAGTTTACAACGACAACAACCCCGCCGCCGCCGACGACGACCGACAACGGACAAATTTCGATCAGAAAAGCTCACTTTTCGTCTCAGGTGAGCTAAAAATATCTGATTCAGAAATGAAAAGTAGAATATTTTTATCGGAAATGAAATGCAGCCGGGGGTCATAGTATTTGGATCCCTAAAATCTATTATTGGTTTTATTAACATCGTCTATTATTTTAGCAGAAAAAAATTCTTTGACCCCCCATACACAAAAAACAAGCATTCTGAGAGTATTGCATTAGCAATACTAGTCCCCTACCGGCAAGTGTAATCTGGTTCCCCTTTAGAATTGAAAATGTCATATCTCCGTCAAAAATTAATGATGCGGAACGAAATGCAAACTTGATCTATAACTAATCAAGTTAAAGTCACATACCAAAAATCAGCTCAATATCTGAAAGCGTTCAGAAGAAAATTGCGGAAAACCCTTAAAAATTGAAAAGGCCATAATTCCGTCAAAAATCAATGAAGCGGAACGAAATGCAAACTTGATCTGTAACTCATCAAGATACACTCACATGCCAAAAATCAGCTCAATATCTGCAAGCGTTTAGGAAAAAAGTGCGGAAAACCAAGTGGGACAGACTGACAGACAGACAGAGGGACAGACAGACAGACAGACGGACAGACAGACAGACAGACGGACGGACAGACGGACGGACAGACTCAGGGGAAACCTATAGTCCCCTCCGGTTTCACCGGTAGGGGACTAATAATATAGCGACATTCGGGGGATAGATAGTTATCATTTAAATACGTATCTAGTAATCTTTAAATCTTCGCTTTGTTTTTGGTTTTCAGTCACTTGTTATATATGGACCAGATAGGAAAAGAAGAAATAGGGTCAGAGTACATACTAGACCATTCGTTCGCTTTAAAACAAATATATTCTCTGTATATGAGAACAAATAGCTTAATCTGTTTATGATATATACAGACATTCCAAAATTATCCCCACGTCATAATGGCTGAGATTTTTAATGCTGGTTGTTGAAAACGAAAAATGTTTTAATTACATTTGATTGCATTTTACAAGGTCATTTTCATTTGTGACAAAAATTTTATCAACATTTATAACAAATTCTCTGAATGGTACAATGCATTCATGATCAGTGCATGAATGTAATGTTTTAGTATGTAGGTTCATGTACACTTAACATTAAATATACTTTCCTGACTCGATCTCGTGGACAAATATAATCCCTGGGGAAAACGTAATGGCAGCAATAATGCTGTATATAACATTTATATTTTGGATGCAATTTTTTTTCTAGGTGGAATGACACCTTGAAAGTAACGCTTTTGAAAAGTTAACTCGAACGAAAGTTGAATGATTTAAGGAAAAAATTACATTAGAAATTTCAGAAATAGATCAAAGATATATCCACAATATGATGCTCTGTACAAAATTCATTTGTTTCAATTCTTTGTGCACATGTATATTAGAAAAATTCATAACACCATGATGTACACATTTAGTACACCTTGAGTAAATTTGCATACTTTTTATGTAAACATGGACATCATGAGGTATGATAAAAATTATGCATGATGTACATGAAATAAACAAAATTTTAATCACTGTTCTTGCTAATTGTATTTCTCTATATAAGAGAAGAACACAGACACTTGACGTTTTAAACC